TGGTCTACTACCTTGAAAATTTGTTTAGGAGCAATGTTTTATAAAGGATTTAATTAGGAATTGGTGGTTTTGGTCAGCTGTCAGTTTTGGTTGTTTGTGTTTTGCTTTGCTGCTGGCTGCTTGCCTGGGAAGGGAGGGGGAGTATGGGGGAGTGCAGGTGGACAGGGTTAAGAAGGAGTTCAAATCCTTATTAATGAATCAGGTTTTCCAATATAAAAAAATTAGGGCACCCAAATTTTTTTAGCATTATTCAGGACCACTTTTTCAAACAGGGGGTCCTGAATGATTTTGGAAAATTTTAGCATTATTTCCGACCGGTTTACTAATCGTGATCCAACATTAATCCTCCAAGCGCTTCTTATCGCTCCCCTCACACCTCGTTGTGGTTCGCGGTCAACAGATGCGAAAGATGTCCAAAGCTGCCAGCCGATATGATCAAGAAGCATCCAATCCAGAAGGACATTTTTACACTCTGACCCACTAAGATGGAAGCGGAAAATGGTTCTTTGGAAGAGTACTTTCCTTTATGAACAGGGGGTTTGCCACTTCCATGTTAGTGAGTCGGAGTATAGATTTTTTTGGTACGTTCCTTGCACCTTTTTCAGGAGACCCCTTGTTCCTGGGCATTCGCTGGTACATGGATCCCTTTGGAGATCCCTACAACACCGTTGGCTACAAGGTGGTCACCAAGAAGCCTGGACAAATTGCCAAGTCCTGCTGGAAAAATCCAAGTGACTGTCGGCGTCTAAGAGTCTAAGGCTTTTCATGAGTCTAAACGGCTAAACGAGATAGACTCTGACGAACACATCATATCTAGAAGTGGAAGTAACACGGTCCCTTGGAAGACTACTTTCCTTCCATGTGAGTGAGTTCGGAGTGTATCTTGTTTGACACATGAACAGCACCCTGCTGTTCATGTCCAACAGTTGTTGGTCGAAGAAAGCGATCCCGCCCAGGTCAGGATGAAGAGTTGGACTTGACACCCTCTTACAAGCAATGCCCACATGCTGAGGAGAGGGTTCCGCCCGCAGCTCTAGCTGAAGTCGCATGGCTAGGCGACGGAAGACCAATGGATAGGCTATATGGCCCAACACTTAGACCTCCCAAAACACTTTGATGAACATCTGCAGACTGTTCTGTTCATGTGTTCGGATTTTCGTTAGTGGTACATCCAAATAGACGTGGAAGAAGCGAGCAAAGGTGACTTGGTGTTAGTTTCTCACAAAAGTCTTTCACTTTTCTTCCATATGTCTGGATTGGGCCTCAACATGCAGAGCTAGTTAGACCAGATGCGAGAGCGAATGGAAGGTCATTGGATCACTTGTTCACCTGCAAATTCCCTTTTCCACTGGCGTTCCACTCCCACCCTCCAAAAATTAACGGGCCCCAATCTGTCAGGGCCGCCAGCCTTTCTGTGCAGCTGGCTATTCCAAAACCAAGCCACAATGTGCTGCACCTTGGCGAAGGAGCTCAAGCTCCACAGGCAGGTCGGGTCCGACTGGTCTAATTTCGATCCTTCGGACCCGGTGCACCGAACGATTGGTTTTGGGATGGTTTTTCGGATTTGATGGTTTCGGATTGGTACAGGTCCCGCACCCACGTGACGTGGTGAGATGGGATACACCAAGGGCTCTGCTGGGCAGAGAGCCGGACGAGTTGCACTGTTCGATGCGATCCTTTTGATCTCCAAACCGAGAGGTTTTGAATGAATTCATGAAGGAACTTTCTTTGCTTGGGCAGGTCCCTGTACATGTTTTGTTCAAATAAATGTTGACCGTATCCAGACGTTCTTGAACTGATAGAGCATGGTGATTGGGTGGTGACCAGTGCCTTTCTATCTCCAAGGAGCCTGGAGCAGATGAAGAATCATTGCTGCAGCAAGAAGATGAAATGTTCCAAGAAGGAAACAGCTCATATCAGGCGGGGACCCCAGAAAGCAGCCCGAGGCTCGTGTCGTGGGCAGAGTCAACGATATCTCGCCTGGAAACTGGACACTTATTTCCTCTAGCCTACAGTGCAATCTTCCATACCTCATCAAGGCCTGCAGCCTGCAGCCTGCACGAGTTGTCTGACTGGTCGACCCGTGCGACCCTAAACCAGACGAGAGCAGTCAGACTCGTCGAACCTTCGAGATCGTGAACGTCTTCACCTTTTATCAACCGTTTCTTCCGGGAGATGGGCAGCAGTTGAGGCCATAACAAAATGGTCAGCCAGTTGAAAGACATTATGTAAAACACTTGTGTGTTCAGTGATGTGCACATCCACAGCTGCCAGTACAGCAAGCTTTATATAGCATGCAGGGCCTGATGGCAGAATAGATAAACGTTTCATGTAAATCTGGAGCCCTCCAGCTGGCACAAACTTGGAAGAAAGCAACTTCGGTTGACTCGACTCCTAAGTGATAGCAAAGCAGGTTGGCGAGTCACTCTCGTTTCGTGTTCGCTGGAGGTCTTTGGTGTCGTTTGATGGTCAAATCCACAGAAAGTCAGGTTGGTTTGGAGTGATTTTCCTGACATGGGAGGTACCTTGGGTAAATGTTCCAGGTAGTACGAGGTATCTAATAGAGCCACCATTTCCTGACAGTACCTCAGGTGGTTCATCGGAGCCTTCATGAGTTGACTGGCGACTCCGACGATGTGAAGGCAGCAAGGAGTCGTATCCGAGAAGAAGGAGACATGCAACAATACAACACAGGGATAAATCATGAAAGACTAATACGTAGCGGCACATCTCTGCACAGGGAAGCGCATGACCAAGATTGCATCATCCTATCCATGATTATTTTGTTGACAATTGGGTGTATCATTCAAGTAGGGAGACCTCCCAGGCAGGCAACGACCCCTTGAAAGAAAGAACATCGACCAACACCCAACCTGGGGGATGCTGGGGGTTTGCCGTTTGCACACCAGCTATTTGCCCCAACGAGTTCGGACTGAACCGTGACCAGGCAGAGTTCAGTGCCTTTGTGCCCAAGACCATTGAGCTGGACCATGATTTGCCTTTGCAGATCACCTTCACGAACACAGGCTTGCCCTTCAGATGTCGGCAGATATGATGTACGTGCAAGGAAGTCAAGGAATCTCTGAAAGTCCTACCTTCCCGGGTGGGGAGGTATATTCAGCTATATTCAGGTCTTTGAATGATCGATGTAGTTCCAGACTCGTTTTTTGTTGCACTGTAAGGCACTACTGTAGTAGAGGCTTTGATTGAAGAAACAGTAGTGGGGGTGAGGTCGGAGGTCGACGGTAGATGTGTCCACATCCACGACCCCTTCGCAGAATCGCAACGCAAAGCGCCCATAAATCGACCGGTCGAAAGAACCTTCCAAACGAAAGGGCAAGAGCATGATGCCAACGGCTAACATAGCATCCTTCAGCAACCATTTCGAGAACATTTAGCTTGGTACATCATGTGCACCCAGTCAAGGACAGGTTTTGGATCACTTCTTCACTTGCACGCAGTCAAATCTTCATTGCTAAGCTTTAGCTTCAAAGTTATCGAAGCTCTGCCCAACCTGGTTCTGCCACCCATCTATCCCCACTTTCATGGCCAAGCCATGCCAAGCCTTTTTGAGAGTGGTGAAACATGAGCTACAAGAGATCATGATGATGATAGCTCCATGAGCTTTTGGGATACTACCAATCATGTTGCCACTTGTAATTGATTCGTCTCAGGAAGGGTAGCCACGTCCATGGCCAATCGCTGGTTTGAGATACTTCCACAGATGGCCACGGTGGAATGAGAAAACCCAGCGGGCCAGCGAACCGCGCGGATCGCAGGTTCCGAGCAGCGCACCTTGCGGATCGCCATCACCTCGCTGGGCTGCGACTATCGGGGAATGCCGGTGATTACCATGCAGACGAGACGGAAGAAGTATGCCATGAAGCTGCCCTTGGACGCTGGGAAGTGCGACGTCGAATTGTCGACAACTTCAGTTGTCCTTGTTTTTTCACCAATTATAAAATATACAAGATGATCATACGTAAAATAAAGTATTTCTTGTGTAACATTTATAAACAATATGTAATGTAATGTAAGACATTGTAAGTAACAGGATTTGCCAACTTCAAATGGGCAAAGCCACCTATTTCACTATGTCCTTCAAGGATTTTGTTTTCCGTGGCACGTTCAGCAGCTCCGGCAGCTCAGACGGGTACTCCAAAGTTGACGATAAACTTCAGCAGAGTCCCCGGTTGGTGTTGAGTCAATACCTTAGCGCCTTAGCTCAGCTTCAAAGGCCACTCTCCTCCCCTGCACATTAGAAGGGGCAGAAGGGGCTGAAGGTCTGAGCTTCCAGGGGTGTGGACAAGGCGTTCTGAATAGACTTGGTGCGTGTTCACCTGTACCCTGCCACTCCGCACGCACTCTATGCGTGTCACGGGTCACGTTTCATGGTGCCCGCGGTTCTGACCAAGGCGCCCGTTCGATTCTGAAGATCTGGTGAACTCACTGAGTCACATGTGAATCCGTAACCCAGCTTCCTCATCCCAGTCATCCATCCCTCAGGATGGGCTCGAGACTCTGTTGCAGCGGGAAGTGGAGCTGGGGCCAAGGGAGACGAAAGTGTTCCAGATCCTTGGATCAATCAGAGTTACTCAGTTCCAGACAACAAGCATGGGAGCCCAAAATATTTGGGAGCTGATTCAATTTCATGCTTGTTGGCTTTGGCTTGCGGTATTTCAGGATGACCTTCCAGGATCCTGAAGACGGAATAAGTATCTCTTTTTATTCTGGCCACTGCAGAGTCCACAAGTCAATCTGCATTTGTGGACAACTATATATATATATATTAATATATGATCCAGGGGCCTTGGGGGATCATTTTGCTCTTGCCTAAAAGAAAGCTCTAGTAGCCATGCCAAATATACCAATATGATTCATATATATATATAATATAGTATTATATATATATATTGTATACCAAACATATGCCAATATACTACCAATGCCAAATAAGTGTATATATATATAATATATATATATTGTTAAAGGGGTCTCAAGAATGGGACGTGGGGCCATGTGGCGCCACTCTCATACCGCCACTCAGACACGATGAGAAGGCGGCCTTTGTGAACCCACACCGCCGTGTGAGGCACGTGGTGCCTGCGGAGAACCTGAGCGGAGAGCTCTTGGAGACCCTGGAGGTCGGTGAAGGAAGTTCCACGCCCATCGTCGGACTCTTTGTGCAGAGTGTTGTTTGATGTTTAACAAGGATGTTTATAGATCATAGATCTCTAGCCTTTCATCCAGCCTGTGGCCCATGGCTTTGCCAGGATTATTTTGGTGAGATGGTGAAACTCTCCATCTCAAGAGATGAAGAACCACGAGGTTCTAAAACCAGTCTGTCAAGAAAAGGATCTTGCTTTGGCGACTACCAAGATGGTATAGCCATCCAATTTAAAAAAGCGCGTTGCCAGAACCAGTTTCCCTTTTTCAACGTCAGGTGAACGCGGCGGAGGGTACCTTCTTCCTCCAGTTCCACGTCTCAGCCCACGTCCTTGAGACTGGGCAGACCTTTGGTCATCAGCCCCGCAGGCACCTGGTGGAGGCGGGTGACGCCTGAGCGGCCTCCACGACGCCGGGCGGCCGACGCGACGCGGCCGTGGAAGAAAAAAAGGAAGGCGGCCGCCGGCGAGGCTCGCGCGGCCGAGTCTCTCCCGCAAGTCCGCACCGTCGGCAAGTCCGCCCATTGGCGGATTGGCGAAGTGGATGGGGGAGCGAGCGGTGGCGGTGGCGGGTGTTGGGGAGCGGTTTATTTATTTTTATTTTTTGTTTCGCAGGTGTTGTTGGGGGAGTTTGTTTCATGTCAGCGGCCCAGTGTTTGGGCTACAGGGCCCAGGCGAGTTGGAAACCGGACAACCAGACAATGAAGAACGCGCCTAGAGCCTGAAGGAAGTTCGACAAGGACACATGTTCATCGATGTCAAGAGAGCAGTCCAAACATCAATGCAATTGAAGTTAGACGGATGAGGGCAGGTCATTTACATTCATTATCATCCTTCTTTCGCAAGACCAATTTTCCACCCACATTTGGGAACCATGATGTCTCCAGTGCGGTTGCATTTTGTTTGGTGCGTCATGTTGCATCATGCGAAGGTGTTGCGATACATATATATATATATACTAGGACCTGCCCTGCGACCCTGGAGTAGACAACCTACTCTTTCAATACATATATGTTTGGTAGGCTCAGATAGACCGAGCGAAGACTTGCTGATGGCTTTTTAGTGTATATAGAGGTATATGGTATGCATACGCTGTATCTGCACGATGTGTTTAATTGCCAGTATTCTATAGTTCAATCTCATTTTTTGCTCAGTCAGGTGCCTACGACTTTTGCTGAGATGTTCCTCTTCAATGCGGCAGTGATGGGTTTCAGCAACAGTGGCCTGACCGAAGAGTCTTCGTGGTGTTGGATAGGCTCTGGAGTACTCTGAAGATGGCACTGCTTCAATTAGCAACAACATTGATGACGTCGGAACTTTTCATGTCCCTTAGAAGATCTGGCCAACACAGGTGTTTGGGCCATAAAGGGCAAAATCCCTTTCATTCACACTCGTGGCAAGCACTTGCCACTGGGACATTGGCCAAGAATCCTTTCGACTGGGCCAATTTTAGGCGACTGATTTCGACCCACACTGCATTAGCAGATCATGGAGCCAGTCTGTGCAGTACTGCAGCTAGTGGCAACGTCTTTGAAAGGTTGATGGGATGGGATGGTTTGGCACAGATCTTCAAGTTCAGAGCCCTCAGAACAGAAAAGTTGTGGAGACGCTGTGGGAGCGGGATGGGCGACCGCCCCCCATCCACTTGGGTTCGCGGTGTCCTTTCAGCAACGCAAGATCTTCTGCGTCCTGTGGTGTATCGGGACCCGCAAATTGAGATGAAGCAATGAATAAACTACAGGAGAGTCCGTATTATTGGGCACCATTATAGCTTTTTATCGGCGCTCGCAGGTATTTGGATGCAGCTTGTGCTGGACCAGTTCGACAACATCGTGACCAACGTGGTCCCTTGGAAAGTGTTCCCTCAGCCTCGCTATATAGATGAGTTGTAGCCATTCACCAAAGAATGGGCCTTTCTCCACTCAGAAGTTGGGTAGATCCCATTCTCGAGACTTGGTGTGCTTAGAAACCACCGTGTCACTCAACTTTATGAATATATATATATATAGTCAAGTCCAGTCCTTTAAGCTTAAGGCGAAGTCTTCCACATTACGGTAGTGTCATTCATCCTTTCAATCAGGCCAACTCTAGGCCGTCTAGGCCCTTGTAGGCCCTTGTCCGCCGTGAAGCTGTATATGTATTTTTCGGGCGATGGCCACATCCACTCTTGGACTACAGATGGATCCTCCCATGGACCAACGTCCCAGAAGCAGACGGCGGACTTGACGGGACGCATAGCGTTTGGAGTAGAGTTCGGTGCCAGACGTGCGTCCGTGGCATTGACGACGTTCGTTAATGGAAGAGACTTCTTAATTGAGGATGTACCTCTTTGCGAGGTCAACCAATCAGAACCTGACCCAAGCTTTAAGCATCTCAACATTCTTTAAGACGATACTTTACCAGCTAGCGCATGCTACCGCATTCTAGGGCTTGTTCTCACTCTACGGCAGGTCTTCACTTCAGGTAACCTGTGGGAGCTTCATGCCCCAGAGCTTTGGTAGGGGTGGAGATGAAGAAAGCCCGCACGACACGTGGGTTTCAGATCGTTTCTGAGGCGAACTCTTATCGCCTCCAAGAAGAATGTGATGTGCTCACCCTGGTCCTGGCCAAGCCTTTGGGCTGCGTCCTCCCCGGGGCGATGGGGCATGGGTGGCACCGAACTTCTCTTTACCTTTGGCATGGGGGTAGTTTTTATAGGGTATTGGAAAATAATGCACTTATCTCAATCTCCACTTTGTCTACTGAGCAAGTTCTTGCATGGTTAACCATGACTCAAAGACACAGTATGTTACATTCTAACTGAAAGGCTGTGCATTAGCCAGTTCTTTAAATCTGTTTTTATATGTTTCATGTTTGATGAATCTCATAGGAACAAGCAGGATTGACATGGCATGGTTTGATATATTACATACTGCAGCAACTCCTTTGGCAGGTTTCGTGGGTGGGGAAGTATCATAGATATACATATAGTGCATATATACAATATATATATATAATAGATATGTATATCTGATTATTATTATATACTATCATACGCCACATTACACGACCATTCCATATGACTGCAGCAACGCCAATCGACGCAAGTTCGGTAGGACTGAGCCTCCCACGAGCTTGGAGTCTGGACTCGTACCACAACAGAGCGGTTAGGTTTCCACATGACGAGAAAACCACCAGAAAAAAAGGCCCCAAATCCGAATGAACTTCAAAATCATGATCAGAGCCCCTGCAGTTCCGGCAGTTTTGCGGGCTCTTCGAGTTTTGCTGCCAAGGCATCGAGGTCCCATCAAGCTCCCTGAGCCACTTGGGAAGGAAGCGAGGAAAAGGGTGAGGGACAGGCTCTTTCAAAACAAAGAGCAACACACGGCTTTCTGACGACCTCGATGTTCTGTCAAGTCTTGTGGTGCAAAATGTGTGTTGCTTTCAATCGGAACATGAACAGTTGTCATTTCTGGGATATCCTCGGGAGCACTTGCATCTGGGGAAGTCCCAGTGTCGCATCCTGTTGCGGCCATGAAGTGGCACCGAAAACGCGGCTGGTTGCCCTGTAGTATGTGTATATCTTTTGCCCTTCGAGGTGCATCAGGGCGCATCCATCCCTTCCCATGGTTGTTTTGGATTTCCAGTTGGGCGCAAGAGGAAAGAGGAGAAGTCGACTAGACTTGTTTTTCCAGAGAACCTCCCCAGCTCCCCCAGCTTCTCTCTCTCCACAGACTCCGGGTTTCGGCGCCAGAATCCTCAGAGACTCCGAAGAGTGGTGGTCACGGACTCACGGACTCCGAAAACCCGGCGATCCAAGGATGGAATCGATTTGGATTCATTTAAAGGACCCAAAGATTTAAAAAAGGAAAACATTCAATCACCTTCCAGAGATGGTCCAGCCATGTCCAATATTCTGCACGACATGTCTTTTTTTGCACTCGTTTTTTTCTTCTGCAGTCTAGGGTCAACTCATGTTCGATCGAACAAAGAACACCGACCGCATCTTCCGCAAAACGCAATGGATTCCATCGAGGTTCAAGGCTGTGACCCTGGCCTCCCTGCGCTCCTTGCTGCCACAGGAGCCTGAGAAACTCAACAGGTGAAACAGCCGAAACGGGCATTTCTGATGTGCGTGTGTTTGCCAGGTCACGTCTCTTCTGAGTTTTGCTGCCCTCAGAAATGTTCATAAGTCATAGTTGATTTAGAAAAAGGAAAGAGGTTTATTTGTTTTTGGGGTGCATGTGTTTTACTTTTCCGGGTCAGATTCCCAAGATAACTGGTTTGGACATTCGCCGACTCATGGCGCATGGCTCCTGGATCAGGGAGAGTTCTGAACGATCAGCTTGATCACTTGGGTAGATGCCGAGGTCCAAATCTGAGCATTAATATGTGTTGAGATTGGTGTTAATGATTCGCGAGGACTGGGATACGCACCATGAAGTGGCCTGGAATTGGCTTTGGGAGAACGTGGAGCGGATGTTGCGCTTGCAAATCAACCCCAAGGCTGAGTGGAGTTGCAGCATGCCCAACTTGTATGCAAAACATGGAAGAACCAAGCGAGTGTTGACTGCGTTCGATGCTGCAGTGTATATCTGTGTATACACATATTATATAGTTGCATACATTTAATACATGATGTGTGGATTATTTGAATGCATTGTATAGCTGCAAGAAATGTGTTTGTTGGAATGCAGCAGATCAAGCATCATACGCCTTCCAAAATAGATGCCCACGAAAACACCGCGTCGTACCTTGACCTGGGGATAGGGAGGGAGCTGATTCTCCGGTTTGCTCAACGGCCGATTCTCCGGCTGATTCTGGCGGCAAAGGAGAAATGGAGCCTGGACGATTTACACGGCGTAGTGCACGCTGTGAGGCCTACGACATGGCGTTGGAGAACTTTGTGTTGTCCTTGGATGAGAAGACCTTGATGACTTTACGGAGAGGCATCTACGCGGAGCACCTGGGCAACCCATTTGAGGCATCATTGTGTGGCCCTTTGCGGGACTGGCGCGTGTGCACTTTGGTTATCCGACATGTGAGACCCAACCACAAGACTGATTTCTACATATCCCGTCAGTGACAGGTTGTTTCGAAGTAACGTAAGCAACCTACAGGTTTTCCAGCTCGAATGGTCATTGCCACGATTGGGCAGTATTTGCCCGGGAGTCATCCACGAACAAATTCACACCTCAAATGGTATGTCCAGTTCACATAGGTTGACTCAGACCGAGTCACTCATTCCCCAGTCGGTCGCTCTTCTTCGACGAGTCGAGAACAGGTTGACAGTTGCGTCGCTTGTGAAATTGGTCGAGAGTGCACCCGCTCGAACCGCAAGTGGACACTCTGATTTCATATGAAGACTATGACCGCAAAGAGTCCCCGGCACTGCACTGACCTGGTTCGAAGAGCAAGTGACCATGGTGATGACCGTTTTTCATGGATCAACAATCCCTTTGATC